CACACACACACACACACACACACACACACACACACACACACACACACAGGCACACGCCGCCACCACCAGTCCCCAGCGGCTCAGAACAGCAGAAGGGCATCTGGGGAAACCCAAATGCAGAACCCAGAGCGGGACAGCGACTCAGAGGCAGGAGCGCAGGCTGGATGTCTGTCCCCCTCCTGCCACCCACGGGCTGCTTTCCAAGTCCCCTGCTACTCACGGTGGGGTTGAAGATCAGGGTGATGTGCTTGTGGTAGCCCACCGCGGAGAAGGAGACCTGAGGCAGGACGTAGTCGTGCTGGGACCTGGGCAGCGTGGAGTCCAGCAGCACCACGTAATTCTGTGACACACAGGAATCGCTCGGGTAAGCAACCTGTCTGGCAAAGCCAATGGAGACTAACGCCTGTCACGTGGCCGTGGTGACACGAGCTCAGGCCTTCAAAGAAACCCAAGTCTGCGCTTCCAAACCCAGGCTGCGGCACAGAGCCAGGGCCTCCGCGGGCTACCCCACTGGGGACAGTCCTGCATCCCCGGGGTCCTCTGATAAGGCTGCCAGGCCCTGCAGCACTTTTTAGGAGCCTATTCAGCCTCGACAATTAAGGTCCTTTGAAGATGTGACCTCAGGAGCCAGTTCTGAGGAAGGAAGGAAAGTGACCAAAGGGAGGGAGAGGGCCAGCCCACACTGAGGCCGACTCCCAGGGAGGCACGAGATGGCTTATTAGCTCTCGTTCTAGAATTACGGCTCTGGAATACCACAGCCCTGTGTGCCAAGCCCGACCAGGAGCCAGGCCCTGTGCCCGACAGGCCGGCTCTGCACTCAGCCACGGAAGGCCAGGATCCGCACCCCATCCCCTGCATGGGGGGAGCTGAGCCTGCGGCGGCCAAGGGCAGCCCACATGGGGTCAGCAGCCCCGCAGGCTCAGACCCCAGGGCCCAGGTGCTTCCACCCTGCTGTGTAAGGCAACTGTGTCAAAGGCAACACCACCTGAGGACACGGCAGCCTGCTCTGTTATTTCAAACAGAGAAAGAGGCGGAGTCAGGAGAGGCACCCTCCCACCACAGGTGCACAAAGGACACCCTTGGCCTACCACCACTACCCAGCTACGACGTCAGCCTGACAATTAAGTTAATGAGAAACAAATTTAGAATCAGTAAGGGACGTCCCAAATGACAGCCAGAAGCTGCTCAGTGCTGGGGTGGAAGATGGTCATCCAGGTCCACTAAACCAAGGGACAACACAGAGGTGGGACCACAAGAGGTCTACGTGAGACTACAGGAGATGCTTGGTAATCAAACCGTCCAATACAAAGAACTATGAGGACTGGGGGCCGAGGTGGAGGTAGAGCGCCTGCCCAGCTTGCACGAGCCCCAGTTCCACTCCCTGCACTGCAAACAAAACAGACTTTGGAAAATCGCCCGAGAAGCCCCTCCATCCGTGGCTCTCAGTAAACCTGGTGGCCACGGAAAAACGGGAGCAAAGGAGTAAAGGGTGCTCCACTTCAGGGCCTGGTTAAGCTAACTGAGGGCAGTCCCCACGTGACGGACCACTGGGTGGTCGGGGAAAACCAGGCAGTGGAGGACTGGATGGCGGGGACAGATGTACATTCTGTTCTTCATTACGGAACAACCTACGAACGCTCCAGGCCTGAGCTATCACAGTCAGTGCGTCTTTACTGCTACACACATGCACACGTGCACTGAAAAGGGACCCAGAGGACGCCAATCAACACGTCAACAGTGGTTATTTCTGGATGATGGGACTTTGTCTGATTCTTTTTTCTATGTTTTAAAATCTCCTGCTATGAATATGCATCATTTTTGTAAAGAGAAAAGCAGCTCATTAAGGAGCAGCAGGCCCCGCAGAGCCCGGCCTCCTGATGGGGCGCTGCGTAGCCGCGTGGGGAACAGGAGGTCTCCCGACCCGGGAGACCGGAGGCAGAGCCGAGAGCGCGGGCGGAGTGTGGGCCTTACCTCGCCGTCTCTGAGCAGGGGCGGGAAGTGGAAGAAGAGGGACTGGCCCAGGGACACCGTCTGGATCGGGTTGTCGAGATTTTCACTCTTGTAAAGCTTCACCTGGGGACAGAGCAGGCGGCTGAGCTTCGGAGATTGAACACAATAAACGTGTCACACAGACGTCCTTGGACAGGCCTCTGGGGGGGGAACAGGCCCTCCTCCCCCGACAGGCACAGTGCCTGTCCCAGTCGGAGGCTCCGGGCACGTGCCAGTGCCACCACAGAAAGCTGACTCTGGAACAGGCCCTGACCACGCAGGTATTGCTCAAAACAGCAACCACGGTCGTAGCGACGGGGTTCAGAGGAACTGCTGCTCACATCCGGGGACCACCTGAATATAGGGCACCCACAGGCACCCTGCAAACAGCTCGGTGATCCTGAGACAAGGAACTGCCTCAGGAAGGCTCAAAGCCCGTCACCTGGGGTCACTCAACGTGGACGAGCCCAGATCCTGCCTGCCACATCATGTCACATGACCTGAGTCCACAAGACGGTCTCCACTGAACGGTTCTCCAGGCTGTCTCCCCAGATCTGTCGCCCTCCCCACCACCTCACACAGTGGACACCAGGAGGAGCAAGGTCCAGTCCAGGCTGCCTTCAAAGGCTGAGTGCCCGGCCCCCACGCCTGCCTCAAGGACACCAGAAACCACCCCTGAGGGCCACAATGGCACTTCTCTGCACCCACAAGTCACGGGGGCTTCCAGGGATAGAAGTCACAGCTGGGTCTGTGGTCACATTCAAGACCACTCACAACCACCAGTGACAGAACAGCCCCGGATGCCTGGCCTGAGCCACTGCCCAGCACACAGAGCTTAGAACCACAGCACTATGCCCTGACGTGGGCCCCACCGAGGACCGACTGTTCCCAGCACTCATCAGCCTCGCCGTCACCCACCTCCCAGAGAGCAGGGGCTGCAGCTGCCTGAAACTGGGTCACTCCCAAGCACACCTGTGAGGGAGGGTCCTGGGTGCTCACCTGGACCCTCAGCAGGGCGCCTCCCTCTGCCCTGCACTGCCTGTTCCCGCCCGTCTGGGTGCCCTGGAGACGCTGGCCTTACCCATAATGTAGGAAGATACTCCGAGGACGTGATCACATTTCCACTCAAATCAAACTGGTTAATCTGCCGGAAAACTATGATGTTCACGTCATCGATGTCGTTATTCCCAACCTGGGGGAGAAGGCCAAGCTGAGTGGCTGCTGTGCCCCACCCAGTGGCCAGGAGCTCCCCCGGCCAGCAGCACTTCCCAGAGGAGGCGCGACGCAGTAGACCACATGCGAGGCCACATGCTGGCCAAGGGCGACCCCCGGCCCACAGAAGCAGCGTGTTTGATGGGCAGTGTTCACCCTCTGGCTTCTAATCCCCTGCCGTCGTCTTTAAACCTCTTATAAGAAGGCCGAGTTCCAGGCTCTCTGAAGAAAGACCAGGCGAGGGGGCAGGAGGAGCAGGAGAGGCTCCCACCTGCTCAGCCACGGTCCACCACGCTGTGGCCCTGCTCAAGCCCCCAGGGCAGGAAGCGGTGCCAGGCACCTTGGGGTGAGAGGCAGCCACCTGACCGCCAAGAACGCCAGGCACAAAACAGCCCCTTCCCCAAAAAGCCCGAAATGACAGGCGCCATGGCGCACTGCTGGAGTCCAGCTACTCTGAGGCTGGGGCAGGAGGGTCACAGGCCCAAGGCCTGAGAGGGCTGGGGATGACGCTCGGGGTGGAGCACTGGCCCGTCCCGTGTGAAGCCAGGCCCCCAGTGCTGAGGGGCAGGGGGCTCCTAGGTGGCCCACTGCCCTCCCTCACAATCTTCATGCCTAACCGCCACCTAAACGAAGCCACCAGGGAGCAGTTCCTCGTCCCCGCCCAGCTCCCACCCGGCCATGAGGGCTGCTCCACGAGAGCACTGCCTCAAAGGAGGCCACGCCTGGTGACCTGAGCGGCTGCCTTGGGGACAGACTTAGAGTCGTGATCTTGAGTATCAATGACTCGGCCCACAGAGTGGCAGGGAGAGGCCACCAAAATCTGAGAGGCCTGGGGACAGGCTGCCAGTTAAGCCCCCGTCCCCCCCAAGTCGAGATGCTGCCTCTGCCCCAGACCCTCCCCGTGCCAGCACCATCAGCCCCTGCTGGGGCAGCGGGGAGGGGGGGCGAGGGCTGGCGTCGCCCTGGACGTGGGACAGCAGCACTGCCCAGTCGAGACTCCACGTCCCTGCTGCTCGGGAGCAGGACCCATGAGAGGACCTGGGTCGGGTCTTAACACCTCCACCACAGACGAAAGGCACGAGGGACTCTGGAGGGTGACCAGCTGGGTGTGGGGCAGTGTGCGTCCTCACCTGGATGACCCGGTGGTGGGGCAGCGCCCGCTCGATGTGGTCGTTGCCTTCGGTCTTGAGCTGCACGTGGAACACACACCCCGGCTGCAAGGACACCACAGTCACTGCTCTAGAGGGGCCTGGCAGCACCCCACCCAAGCTCCATGTCCCTCCAGAGCACCCTGATCCCTCACGTCCCAACCTCTGGCCTGGCCACCTTCCCAGACTTCCTTTAACACCGCCCCCCACCCCCATCACACAGCCACCCCTGGTTCCCTGGGTCCCCACCCGGCTTGCCCTCTTCTAGCCCAGGAGGTGGGACCCAGCTGCTCTCTCACACCTCGAGCGTCCACACCCGACGCTCCTGGAGCCATGCTGGCCTCACGCTGCCCAGCCTCCCCGCACCTCCAGGCCCCCTCAGGGCAGATGGGGTGATAGAAAGAGGGCTGAGGCTTGGCCCCTCTCAGATCTCCTTGTTTATGCTGCCTGTCGTGTGGCTCAGATTTAGAGGACACAATTTGCCAAAAAAGCGTTATCCTAAAAAACTAAAAACTCTCATTTCTGATCACACAGTGGTCAGACCCAGCGCCTCATCTAAAGCCAGGGTCATGGTCACAGGCACCTGGATGCACCTCGGGGAGAAACCCTGAGAAGGAGCCATCAGTGCTCAACTAGCACGGAGAGGGGACAACAGGGTGCCAGCCACATACACTCAGGCCCCCACCTCTGCACGCAGCAGAGAGGTGCAGGATGGCGCTCTCAGCATGCCAACCAGGGCCACCCCCTCTGGGGTGGCTCTGGGCAGTCCCCCTCCTGGGGGTCTTGCTCTGTTCCACATGTTGCCTGAATCCTAGAAGGAGCACGTGCACCCTGCAAAGACAATCCCACCAGCACTGACAAACCACCAAGGGGACAATGGAGCACACGGTCACCAACAGACCATGCTCAGTGGGGACTGGTGGCACTGTGGGGAAAAAGGAGACACTGCTGTGGAGGCTGTTGGGAGGCCACTCCTCACCGTGGCACCCAGCTTGCCAGTCCCAAAAGGCGGCCACACGGCCCGGACTGGCCCACTCCTGGCCACATGGCCAGTCGTCCTGGGGACTCACGCGGCCTTTGGCAACAACATCTAGCATCAGCTTCTCCCCCAGGTCCTGACGAGTCCCTGAGCACCAAGGTCACATCAACCAAGGGCCAGGTGCTCCTCCTACCCGGGTCAAGCCCTCGGCGCCCCCAGCTCGCCACCCTCTGGACACCCACAAGGACACAGGTCAAAGGACATCCCTTTGGGATGTGTGGCCTGGCACTTGGAAGGTGTGTGCTGCCACCAGGGAGCACCCCAGAAATACAGGAAGACCCTAATGACTGACCCCCTCAGGGAGGAGGCGGGGACGTTACAGTGGAACCCACCGCAGTGAAGAGGAGCCGCGGCCCAGCGCCGAGTCAGCTGAGAGGAGGCCGCGCTGGAGGACAAGGAGGCCGCATAGCTCTCCTGCCACCAGGGGTGAGGTGAGCAGGAAGCGCGGCTTGGCCAGGGCGCCACTCCCAAGTGAGGAGGCAGCTCCGCCAGCCCCGCAGGAGGCTTGGTTGCCACCCAGGGGGCTCTGCTCTGTTCACGCCCTCCCCCTCCCCCCACACTCGCCCCATCAGGAAGCCCCTGGGGGACTTCCTACAGGCTGTCTGCCAGGTGAGGAGGAACAGGTGAGCAAGTGCACAGGGAGGACGAGCCGCACGCCCAGCCCAGGCTGCCGCTCAGAGGGGAATGACCGAGGAGCGGCTCACTGGCGCCCAAGGGAAGTGGTGGGTCTCCTTCATTCACCGCTAACATCAAAAACCAGTCTCACAGGGAACCTGAGTCCTGGCTTCTCTTTCAAACACTGCAGCCATGGCTGCGGGAGCTGAGCTGTGTCAGGACTGTCCCCTTCACACGGGCTGGGCCCTCCCCAGTCGTCACGGCGCCCTGCTGGGCACCCGGCCATCCTGGGCCACTCACACTTTTCTCCCAGCCCCATAAGCCCCTGGTCTGAGAGCCCGACGCAGCCATGGCCACTCGATGCCAGGCCAAGCTCCCCCCAAACCCGGGTTCTCGACTCACTCTGCCACGGAGCCCAACCCAGTGCTGGCCAGACGAAAAGCAAGCAGCCCGTCGAGACAAGGCCCGGGAGGACCCAGAGCCTCCCCGCGGTCCTCCTGCGGTCTGGAGGCCCAGGACCCGGCACGGCGCCCAGAGCTCACCAGCAGGCCACGCAGCCGGAACTTGCCCTCCTCGTCGGTCACGGTGTCCTCCCCGTACATGCTGCAGTCCTTCTGCCCCACGGCTTCCACGGCCACCCCCTGCTCTGGTTCTCCATTCAGAGATGTCACTGTGCCATAGCAACTGTGTGACAAGGAAAAACACAACGTGTCTGAACACTCGCAGGGTCACGGGCAGAGTCCTGCCCTCACCCACAATCACAACACAAGGCTGCGAGGGGAACTGCCCGCGACCCAGGACACGCTGCCATCAACTTCCCTCCTCGTCCACCCCGAGGGACGCTCCGGAATATTGGAACACAAAAGGCTGAGCTTCACTGGACCCTGCTGATCTTTACTTAAACACTGAAGCGCTCGATGGTGGGAAAGTAACTCGAGAACGCCACTCCACGTGTGCAGGGAACACGGTTCATTTTTCTGAGCCCAATCATCTGACCATCTTCACCCCCAGAGCCAGGGCATGTGTGTGAACACGCACACATACAGTGTGAGCACACGGCACGTGGCTCTGCCCGCGCCTGCCTGTCCGGCTGTATGTAGTGTGTGTCCGTCTACCTGGAGCTGGTCTTCAGAAAAATAGGAAATGGTGGGCGCCAGAAGGGGGACATGGTGGCTGGACACAGGCTAGTAAGGGGGACCTCCACACTGCGTGCTCTCCGGCATCTGAAGTGCACTTCAGTAACTTAAGCCTTTCCCTTTCTGAACATTTAATCAAGTCCAAACTTGAGATTAAATTTTCCAGCAACCGATATGCTTTCTCGGGCCTCTCAGAGCAGGCGAGGGGGTCACAGACCACCGCTGAGCCCTGAGCAGGTGTGCACTTGCTCACCTGTTCCTCCTCATTCTGGTGACACTGAGTGTGTCACCAAACCTCCTGGATCAAACCAGCTGTGGGGCGCGAGGCTCCAGAGGCACAGCCCTGAGTGAACAACAGGCCTGGGGGCTGGCGGGAGGCACTACCTGTAGGCCGTGCGGTATCCGGTGATGGTGATCTTCAGGTTCTGCCCCTCCTGGACCTCGATCATCTGCGAGGACGGCTCAAAGCGGAACTCCTTCATCATGGGCTTGAAGTAGTACTGGCCGGGGCTCTGCAGGGACAACACACACCGCCGGCTGCCACACGGAACGGCACACAGCCACGGCTACGGGCACCTGCTTGATACCGAGCAGCCTGGCCTCCCAGGCAGGAGGCAGAGATGGAGACCTCTCCTCATGAACGGCGCCGAGGCCCAGGGGCAAGCACAACCCTGACGGCGGGGCTCTGGTCAGGAGCCCAGCACTCTGTGAGGAAGGCAGGTCCCAAGAGGCCCAGCAACTGGCTCCATGCGCCGCAGCGAGTGGGCAGCAGAGGCAGGACTCGAGGCTGGGGGCACAGCTGCAGGCCCGGGACCTTCCAGATGCTACACTACTTGCCTGCACTCCCCACAAGTCATTTCGTTCCCGTGACTGGCAGAAGATGCCACTTAACAGATACCTCTTGAGTCCCCACCATCGGGACCTCGGATCCATCTCAAAGGAAACCTGGGCCATCCTCCCCCAGGAAGGGACTTCCTACAGAATGACAAGACTCGGTACGGAGCAGCAGGACCCTGGGGTACAGCAAAGGGCGCCTGAGAGAGGCTGCCAGGGCCAGGGCAGTTATCCACACAGCCTGGTGACAAGTGGGTGACCAGAAAACAAGGAGGAGGAAGGATCGGGGACCAGCAGCACCAAGCTCCAGGAAGAGCAGCTCCCTAGCGAGATATGGTCCCCTAAGACAGGCCACTCCACGTGGCCCCGTCCCCACACCGTTGAGCAACACCTGAGCCAGGCACGGGCCGGCTCTCCTGGGGAGACAGCAGGACGAGCTGCAGGACACCTACCAGGTTGGAGAAGGTGAGGACGCCGTTGTCCTGAGTTAAGAGGTTGGAACGAAACACGCCCCCGCTGAGCGACAGGAGGACCCCCGGGAGGGGCTGGTCATCCTCGGCCCTGATCTGGGGATGAGGAAGCACACGAGGTCAAGGGCCCTCAGCCGAAAAGACGACTTTCCTCCCAGGAGGGTTGGTGGCCACTCACAGGGACGGGGTCTGCTCTCCCCCAGGGTGACTAGCAGGAAGGTGGCCACGTCACCTCAGAGCCCCGAGAGCCCCTCCGGCTCCCAGGGGTCTCACACCTCACGTGTGCTCACCCCCAGCCTGGCTGCCCCTGCCCACAGCCCAGCATGGTACCGCCCCACGTGACACTGCCCGAGGCGGCACTTCCTGTGCACACTGTCGGTGTGTGGCACACCGGGGCAGCGATACCTCGAAGCTCACTCCGGCCAGGGCGTAGGCCTTGAAGTCTCCTATGGTTCCTTCCACCGCGGTCAACACGTAGCCCTCCTTCTGAGAGGTCACGGTGTACTCCAGGTCACTGTGCAGGGGGCCAACGCTGCACAGAAGAAAGCGAGATGCCGAGGCAGCTCTGGGCCCTCCCCCCGGGCGCTCAGGCTCCCAGGGGCGTCTCGCTGTCACCCACCTGTAGGCTCCTTTGTCGTCGGTGAAGACGGTGATGAGGGGCGAACTCGCCCCCTTCTCGCTGATGACGATCTCGACTCCCTCCAGCTCGGGGTGGATCTGGCCCTCCAGGAAGAGGCCCGCCTTCCCGTGGATCTCGATCAGCTTCCCCGGGCAGCTCTCTAGACGGAGGAGGCAGCCCAGGAGGGGAATGAGTGGCAGAGGGAGGGAGCTGCTTGGTTGGGGGCCCCACGAAAGAGGGGTCTCAACAGGCGGTCCACGCCCAGCGGCGGCCCAGAGAGACCACGCCTAGCTGCCAGGGCCTGTGGAGGAGCCCTTGCGGCGGTGTGTCACTACTACCTGCCAGCTTCCCGCAGGGCCACGGGACAGGGAAAAGCCTCCTACAGAAGGGGCAGGGCGGCTCCCCTAGGGACCTGTGCTCCCAGCCCCCACAGATGGCCACCATGTAGCCAGCCCAGAGGTCAGAGAAACTCAGCAGTCACAATCACTGCTGTCACTTGTTCCCAAAAGCAGGAAGACGATCCCTGCACCTCCGCAACAAGGGGTTTTGCTTTTCACCCCCCTACCCCCGTCAACCAGTAACGTCAAGGGAGGCCAGGACCGCAGAACAAACCCACCCCTAGGCCGTCCGTCCATCAGCCACCCACCCGACAGGAACACCCAGTGCCCGGGAGGCCCCAGGGCTCAGGGACACAGCAGTACCACACCACCACAGGCCACTTCTCAGCGAAGGCCAGGGCGCAGCACTGGCTGGCGAGTAGCAAAAGTACCTCCGCTGACGAGGGCTTCCATGGCAGGGGGATAGAAGAGCAGCTCCTTGGACGAGGGCGTGACAGTGATCTTCTCTCCAGACCTACGGGGCGACACTGGAGTCGGGCTCTGTCCCTCCAGGACCCAGGACGCTTCGGAGAAGCACCCAAGCGCTCACCTGGCCCAGTAGGAGAAGTCGTAGTGGAAGGGGCCCTGCAACTCGTCCACCAGCTCCTGCCCCGGAGGCCGGGCCCTGCCCTCGCCGCCCTCGGCCTTGCCGTTCTTCTCCCGCTCCTGCCGGCGGGTCTCGATCTCCGCCAGCTGCTGCTCCCTCCGCAGCTCCTGCGCAGACTTGAGAGGGCCCAAGACAAGGGCCGGCTCGCTGTCGATGGAGGACCTGCAAGACGGCAGCTGGTGGGAACCTGCCCTTCTGCCGCCGGGACCCAGTGAAAACTGAGCACCTCGGCCCAATCACAGTGACACCTCGGATTTAAAACACAGAAAATTCAAAGAAACCAAACTGAACTTCCAGGTGGGGAGCAGGTGCTGGGCTAGACTGACACCCCTGACCTGGCACTGCCAGGTGAAGGGCCGACAGTCTCCACGTGGGACAGGGAGCTCTCTTCACACCTCTGACCCTACATCAGAACACTGTGACCGAGAATGTGTGCGCTGGCCAGCAGGCAGGTCCCCCAGCCCTGCAGAATCCACGTCCCAACAGGAGGCAGATGACAACAGGGACCACCAGGTGTGCATAAGAAGGACAGAGCCAGCAGCAAGGGAGGGCAGGGTGCGGGAGGGCCAGGCCCGGTCCTTCTGATCAGGTGGCGCTGAGCAAAGGACCAAGGGACGGGAGAGTGCGAGTCCCACGGCTCTCAGGTGAGAGCACAGCAGATGCCAAGGCCCAGGACAAGTCCCCTCGGAAGTTCCACGGACAGCAAGGAGGCCAGTGCAGCTGGGGCAGGGGACCCACGGAAGCCCCAGGCCAGTGGGAGAGGCCAGAGGGCCGCAGGTCACACTGCCCCACGGGAGCCACCCTGGGTTTCCTCTGGGTGGGACGGAAAGCCACTGGGGCTCTGAGACGAGGAGGTGTGACCTGCACTGAGAAGTCACTGGCTACCGCAGGGACAACATGCTGCCCCACGCAGCAGCTGGAACAGGGAGGCCAGGCAGAGAGCTGCCGTGGTGACCAGGCATGCGACACAACGACTGGACCACAGTGTGACAGCAAGCGGGACCAGACTGCGGGAATGTCCTGATCTCACGAAAAACCAGGCTCTATGAGGGTGTGCGGGTGGGGTGCGAGGGAAGGGGGTGCGAGGGAAGGAGGAACGGGCAGGAAGCCGGCCCTGCGGGGGGGAGGCTGCTCGGCAGCCTTGGGGTAACCCCCGCGATCTAGCTCTGAACCCCGTAATCAGAAGGGCCAGAGGCAGGTCCAGCTGAGGACACGCCCACAACACCAAGCCCCTCCTGAGGGAACCAGAGTGGCCTGGGAAGGGCAGGCGGGGAAGGGAGTCCCTGCTGGGCAGGGCAGGGGGCTGCTCACCTGTTTCCACCCTCCAGGCAGGAAAACCAGGCGAGTCCAGCACCAGGGCAGCGCTGGCCGCTGGGCCATGAGGCACACACCAACCCTCCCTACCGCCTGGCTCGTCCTTCAGTCTCCTCACCAGAAACCACGGGCTCCCCAGCTCTTGTCGCTCCCTGACCCTGCAGTCCGCGGCCTCGTCATGTCCGCTCAACCTCACCCTGGCCGTCCCCTGCCCTCGGGCCCGCACATGGACCCTGTTCTGCTGGCCCCGCCCTCGGGCCACTCTGTTTCCTCACTCAGAAGCCAGGGCTCCTCTTTCAAACAAGGCCACCCTCCACTGTAACAGGGCAGCGATGTCCATGGGACGAGGACCAAGACCCAACACGGCCTGGCCCCCACTTGCCATCCTCCTGTGCCCCCAGCCCCAGGGCCACCCCAAAGCGCTTAAGGCACTGGAGTCTGCAGGTCCCAGTGGGCCTCCCCGGGGGCAGGAAGTCTGGGGCTGAGGCCATGAAGACACCCACTGTTAGCTGATGGCTGGCACAGGGGGGCCAGAAGGCGGCGTCACCGCCCATCCTACGTGACAAAGACGGTCAGCTGCCCAGGCTCTCGTTCCTTGAGAAGATTAGAATCCCAAACCTCGTCACACTGCAGAAATTCAACTTAGGTGACAGTCACACGGACACGACCCTCGGTGAGGGACGGCCTTTCCAGCACCTCCTCCTCATGACCGCCTCGCATCAGGGGCCATCTCTGTTTCCCAAGACTCCAAGAAAAGATCTGAAGAAAACCTGGCAATTTTTTTGAATTGGCGAAAACACTTGAAACACAATGAACGTGACCTGGAGATTTTTTCCCTTAGACAGAAGTTCAACGAGAAACGTAAGACGGGGAATCTGCTGTCAGAGGCTCCTCCTCACCCACAGCTAATTCCGGAATCATAAAAGAAAGGGATCGGCTGCTGGGTATTTATGACTGTCCTACAGGAGAGGGACGGCCATTTGTGTGTCCACCCAAAGATAAGAAGTCAAGAGCAGCTTCGCGTCCATTAGAGAACCCAGGCCCCAGCACCTCCCGCTCCGCCCAGCAAGGAACACAAGTCTTACTTGATAGTCACGGTGACATCCATCATTTTGTCAGTGGTGATAGTTCCAAGGACATGGTGGCGAATGGCTGTCAACGTCAAGATGCTGGGTGAAGACCTATAAATCAGAGAAGCAGAAGCGTCCACTAGCAGCGCTACCTGGTGCTCAAAGGAACGTCACCAGCACCCGCGCGGGCAGCCTCCCCCACCCGAAAACACGCGGCGCCAAGGGGCTCTTCCCTGGGACCCAACAGCTCTGGGAAGCCACCCAGGCCCGTCAAGAGTGGACGAACCCTGCGCTCCAAAACCTCGCCCTTCCAGCTCCCAGGGGGCTCCACGCCCAGCGACACAAACATGGCAGACCAGGGCTGGAGGATGCCCATGGGCAAGGGCCGGAGCCTGGACGCAGCTCGCCTTCAGGCGCCTTCACAAACATGGCCTCCCAAGGGAGTCCAGGGAGTTCCCGGGAAGGAGACTCCCGTCCACACACAGCAGCGTCCAGTGTCTCATCTAGACGGTACTTAATGCCTAACTTGGCCTCTTCCAGGAAAAAACAGAAAATTTCCTTTTGTTCTCAGAACTACAGGAGGCCGCGCTCAGGGTCGCTCTGCCCACAGAGGGCCCACCAGGCCGTGGGCTGTGCTTACGTGTCGTAGGTGTAGAAGGCTTGCTCGAACCGGTGGCAGGAGCGAGGCGTCACCTTGTACACACCTGCGGACAGGAAATCAGAAGTCGTTTTCAGAGAACAGTGTCTATTACGGCAAGCAGCTCCAATGCCTGAGACCCGCAGGCCGGCCTCGAATTCAGAACCCAAGCAGGCCAGATGTGCAACCATGGGAGCGCAAAGGAGACGGGCACCTTCCTGCTGCCAATCACGGCTGGCTGCCAAACACCCAGCCCACCGCACAGCCACTCAGAGGCTCTGGTTTCCCCGTGTCCATGACTCCTGGTAGTGACCTGCACGGGTCACGCTGAGGCACACGCCCAGGAAGGACAGAAGCACACTTCCACTGCAAACGAGGCCGAGAACACTCTCCCACTTCAGATCCTATTAAAGACCCCAAAGATAAGCTCCTTCAAATATCCCTAAAAAGGAGCAGGGCGTAGGGAAGGCCCAGAAACCCACCAGCAGTCAGGAACACCCTACTCTATGAGCCCTTGCAGAGGAACCCTCGGATTGGGGCACATTTCATCCTTTGCCAGAGGGACAGTCGTTCCAGGGAGAAGCAAGGTGTAACTATTTGCTCCTCCAAATAATCATTAACCAATATTTTGAACACACTTCCTACAAAAACATGAAATCCGTTTAAGCCACCCCTGCTGTCCTCAGGGCACTCAGAAAGCCCAGTGAGGTCACCAGAAGAAAAGACGACCAGCTCTGTCCACCGTCTGGTTCTTTCATTCAACACGCAGTGACTGAGCGCCTGCCCCCCCAGGCTCCCTGCTGGGGCCGTACACAGTGGAGAACAGAGAGGCCTGGTCCCCCACATGGGCAGACCGTCGGCAGAGCAGGCCACAGGACCGCCACTAATATACCAATGGTGGCCCACGCCTGAAGGAACAGAAGCGAGTGTGCGGTCAGGAGGGCGAGAGGGAGGCTGCAGGACCTGGAGGCCCACCCTCCCCTGGGGAAGCAGCTGAACCCAGGCCGACAGGGGGTGCAGAGCAGGTGGGCGGGAGCTCAAGCTGGTGTGCTATGTGCTGCCTCTGACGGTCAGGAAGCCACCTGTCCCGTCATTCTTCTCCCTCAGTAACAGACCCGGTCACCTGGAGGGAGGCAGAGTGCCCAGCCTCCCTTGCAGCCAGCAGACAGTTCTGGCATGAGACGTAAGCAAGCTTCCTGAGGAGAGCTTCCCATGGGAAAGGCGGCCCCACACAGCCCTCTTCCTGCTTCTAACAGGGGGTTGAGGCAGCGTGGCCACAGGCACCAAGATACCAGCGCCAACTTCCACCAGAGCTGACCCCTGCCAGCAACCGTACTGCCAGGTCTTCTCACTGAGCCAAATGAACCCCATTTGTTGACACACTGCAGTATGAATTGTCACAGCCAAAGGCAGCCCAAATGACATACACAGAAAGAGTGGCTGGAGTGGAAAGTGGCACTCAGGGGAGGTGACCCAGCAGCTCAAGGTCAAGTTAAGAGTTCCGTGTTCTACCTTGAGAGCCAAGAAGAGCCGCTGAATTATTCACCAGGAGAATGAACTGAAACCCACAATAAGAAATGCTTCCTGTCCACCAGGACAGCTGTGAACAGAAAGACAGTAACACAAGTCGGCAGGAACATGGAGACACAGGAACACGTGGGCACCCTGAGGCGACCAACACACGGCCGCCGCCACAGTCACCAACTCGTGGCTGCTCCCAAAATTAAACAGAATGCACAGTGCGATCCAGCAACTCTGCTCCTAGGTGTCTCGACAAGAAGATCGAGATGTGGACATGGGCACGAAAACCAGTACAAGAATGTTCACGCCAGCGTGGCTCAGAATTGCCAAGAAATCCTCGTGTACCTCACAGAAGGCAGTGAACATGCACACGACGGAGCGCTGTCAGGCAGTGGGAAGGAACCACCGCGGAGACCAGGCTGTGTTAAATCAAAAGACCAGAACACGTGCAGCCTGCGACACCCTTCGTGTGAAAGATCCAGAAAAGGCAGATCCTGGGAGAGGAAACGAGGGGCTGCCTAGGCGGGGGATGGGGACAACCAACCACCTTACTGGGGACAAGGAAAAGGCCCCAAACTGGGCTGCTGACTGTACGACTTGGTAAATTCACTAACAGTCCCTGCATGGTATGTCTGTCTTTCTTTAAGGTGCTGGAGGTTGAACCCAGGGGTGCTCTGCCCCTGAGCTATAGCGCCACCCTTTTCATTTTTTAATTTTTAGACAGTCTCACTAAGTTGTCCAGGCTGGCCTCAAACTTGAGGTCCTCCTGCCTCAGCCTCCCCAGTAGCTGGGATTGCAGGCGTGTACCTCCACACCTGGCATATTACACAGCTGGGACAGGAGAACTACTTTTTCTTCCCTTGGCTTTCCCCCAGGGCCAGGGATTAAACCCAGGGCCTCGCGCATGTTAGGCCCACATTCTGCCACTGAGCCACACCCTCAGCCCCAAAATGAATTGACTACGTGGCATGTATCAAGAGAGTTAAGAGAGCAGGAAGCCACCAAAGATTTTAAGCAAGGTGGGAGGTGGTTCAACTTTAAAAAGGTCGCCATAAGGAAAGGTCATTGGCGGGCGAAGGGTATGTTGTTTATTTCTAAAGGGGGTCTCTACCCAACTCTAACCTGAGACCAGGCACATTTTCCAACACGGCGCCCTCTACAGGGAAGAGACAGAAAAACAAGACAGACCTGAACAGGACTGAACCCCACAGCCTGCTGCACAGGGAGAGGGCCTTCAAAGCTACTCTCAGCGCCTCCCCGTTTTTCTAACCCACAGCACATCAATCCTGCCAAACTCACCAGGCTTGGACAGGCAGAAGCGGTTGACTCCTTTGGAGAGGTTGTAAATCCCCACGTTCTCAGGTCCATTTCCATCCTGATAGAACTCCTGCGGGACCAGAGCCAGCGCGATGACTTACCGGGGAGATGGAGACACCACCATGATTAATACTATTTCTGTTTCCGAACCAGTCATCTGTTTTGTCCATTAATCATTTGAGCAGTTGTGTGCCACAGGAAAATTAAAAACCTTCAAGATCTTCCAACAAAAATGTGCTCTTTTCATTCAATCAACTAATATTTATTGAGCACCTGCTATGTGACAGGCACCAGGCTGGGCCCTGGGAGGCACTGGTGTGGCTCCCGTTCTCAGGGGGCTTACCTTCTAATTTAGGGAACCAGAAAACCAGCAGGTCAACAATAAATTAGCGGTTTCTGTGGGAAGCAATAAAGCTAAGAAAATCAAGAGGGAACAGGAAGCACAATGACCGCGGGGAGGGCTCCTGGACCACCCTCTCCTGGTAGGTGACACTGGGCTGCACGCAGCCTCAGCAATGGGAAGGAAACAGATGCCTGCACTCTGGGAAGAAGCTCCCTCCAGACAGGGACCCACAGGGACAGCGGCCCAAGGAGGGAGGGAGCAGGGCAGGGCTGCGAAGCCAGGGCAGCCAGGCCAAGAACACACAAAGTGGGGAGTGGGGCTGAGCTAGGGCCCACGGGCCGCCACTTGGCACCATGGAGCCTTACCTACAGGACCCGGGTCCCCTGCAGGGGAAAGGCAAGGCCTGCCCATCACCCATCCTCAGTGGGTGTGAATCAGCCCTTCTCCTGCAACACAGCATCTGCTGGGGTCTGCAGCAGCTGGAGCACTGCAAACACCAGGGTCTATCTGCAGCAGCTGGAGCACTGCAAATACCAGGGTCTATCACAAAAAGTCACTGACGGCCATTGGCCCAGTCTCTCTACTGAGACCTGACAATGACGTCTGTCGCTGTTTGATATCAACATGTAGAACTCCGAGTGAATTACACAGACGCTCCTTGTCCTCTGAGCCGCTTGGCAGGCTGCCCTCAGGCCAGCGCAGACCTTGGGGAAGAGCAGCTCTGGCCCTGGTCCTGGCCTGGAGTCAACACTGGAGAAAGCCCACTGCCCGCCTAAGCACACCAAGGAAACCTTAGATACCAAGAGGTTCCCGGACCTGAGCGGGGCATTCAGCACACCGTGCACCCCAGCAACAGGCTCCCTACGTGTCCGTCAGATTGTGGGGGGGCGGCAAGGCCACTAAGGGACGTCAGTGCTGCCCGACCGTGCTTTCTCTGACAGGGGGCACAGGCCGGCTCACTGGACTGTGGTTCTCACGTCATGCAGCCCAGCATCTCCCACCCGGAGCCCCTCCCCCACCCCACATACCAGAGTGATGGCGTGGGACAGGGCGCAGCGCAGCATGTAGCCCGTCTGCCTGAACTCCACGGCCGACACGTCCTCCTCCAGGACCTCCACCTCCAGGCTCTTGTTCCTCCAGCACCAGTCCTCGTGCACGATGCTGACTGCAAGGCAAGCACGGGGGACAGCGTGGGCCAGAGCCCCGCCAGGCACCCCCTGGGGACAGGGGCCTGCACAGGCTTCACACGTGTGCACAGAACACTCTCACGGACAGCAGCACACGGAACAGGCTCCTGCTCAGGTAAAACTGAAACCCAGCGGGGCACCGTGGTGCACACCTATAACCCCAGCGGCTTGGCATGAGGCTGAGGTGGGAGGATCTCAGCCTCAGCAATTGAGGGAGGCCCTAAGCAACTCAGTGAGACCTGTTCCTAAATAAACACAACAAAAGAGCTGGGGATGCTGCTCAGAGGTTCAGCACCCTCGGGTCAATCCCAGTAACAGAGAAAACTGAAACCAGTGGCCAGTAACATGACAATGAAGAACTCCAAGTGGGCCACAGAGACTGGCTTTAAGGAGGACATTCAGGGACCAGCAGACTTCTTCTGTAAATCTTTTCAACTTTTCTGAGAAGGGGTCTCACTCTGTTGCCCAAGTTGGCCTCAAATTCCTAGGATCCAGGGATCCTCCTGTCTCAGCCTCCCACATGGCTGGGGTTCCAGGTGCATGACATGGGACCCATCTCAGTGTCAGCTCTGCAGGTCTGGACTACCCAGCCACCACCACAACTCATGAGCGGCACGGCCAGCTTGGGAACAAATGGGTGTGGCTGTGTCCTAGGGAAACTTTTTTATGAATGCCAGCAGACAAACTCGAACCCCAGTTTGCCAACCCCAATGGGACAGAAAAGATAATTCCCAGAAAAAGAAATCTACTCTATAAGCTATTCACAGCCATAGCTCCATAGCTCCAAGCTGATCTTTGAAAAAGCAGAAGTACAGGCAATTTGGCTTCCTGAGAGGGCAGGAGAAGGGGGACTACCACTGGCAGCACCTGGTGAAGACCAGGCACCCTGCAAGGGGCTTTGCCAGCTTTATTTCAACTGCTCTTATGTTCCCCAAGGCTGCAATGGGCCCTTCCTACAGATGAGGAAACTGAGTCTCAGTGGGGCTTAAAATACCTGAGACGTGGGTGGGGGACAATTTGTCAAGGTATAAGGGTAGACAACGAGCCAAACTATGTCCACTCACTGCTGGCATCTAGAACTCAAGTGGCACGAGTCGGTCACCTTCCCCAAAACACACAGTGGGTGGGCTGTGTTGGTGAGGTACAAGTTAGTCACAGAGTGTGACTCCAGCATCAATGCCTAATGCCACACCCTACAGCCAAGGTCCCAGGCAAGGAAGAGCTCACAACAAGAGAACACAGCCGAGACACAGCTTGAGAACCACGACTTGGAAAGTTACGAAGGCAGAAAGCGTTACTTTTATATTTTCCAGGGAGCACGTTGTCAAAAGTGAAAGTCATGGAGTTGACCTTGCCGGAGAGCTGCAGGCTCCGCTTCTCGCCCTGGCGGCTCAGGGACTGCAGGGTCACCAGCAGGTCACCACAGGTATCTGCAGAGGAAAGACAGGAGGCCTCATGTGACTGCCGCCAGGGACAGGAAGCACGCTCTCCTGCTCGGGCTCCACGGAGCATGCCAGCAGGGCTCAGGGCTCTGCGCATCGACTGATTGCAAGAAGACCCCCAGGGCCATGGGTCAGCAGCACACGACAAGGGCATGAGGGCCGAGAGGACCCATGGATTTCTGCATGCTCCAGTCTGAGCCAGGGGAGAAGGAAAGAAGGAATGTGACGTTATATAGAGCACCTATGGAGACAAGATGGCATGCAGGTGACGTCATGCAGCACCAACAGGAGCCAGAATCAGAGGCGAGGGATGAACAGCTACAGGATGTGCCTTCCATACCAGCAGGAACTAGCCTTCACACAACGTCACCAGTAGGAAAGATGGACTGGCCTCCCGCGTCCGGGCACTGTGCCCAAGGGCAGCCCAGACTGACACATGGACCCTCAGCGCCTAGGAGGTGTGTGCGGCTAGCTCCACACCCCGGGGGAGGGATGCAGAGGCACAGGGAGGCTAAGCAATGTGCCCTAAGTTACACAGCAGGGCCCAACCCTGGAAGCTCAGCTCGTCACCATTATGTCACACTGCCATGTGACAGGATCACATCCAAGCCCCTTGAAGACCTCCAGGGAGCAGTATGACCATTTTACAGACAAAACACTGAAACCGACAATCTCAGAGCCGGGAGGACACGAGCCAGCGTTGAAACCTGCCAACTCCCTTAGTCAGGAGAGAAAAAGAAACCTAGGTTCCTTCCAGAGCCAAAGCAGAGTATTCTGGAATGCTCCTGGTGACTCCCCTGGCAATGATTCAGAAAGAACCTCGTGCAGGACGCAGTCCCACACCTGCTCAGAGGGCAGGGCCCCCCCCACACCACACGAGGAAGGGCGGCCCCAGCCCCGCCCACCTGCCGGCTTCTTCAAAACCCCCTGCTCCTGCTGCCACCTGACCACTTACCCAGACAAGAGACCTTCCCAGACACGGAGGCCAGAAACTGCACAAAGGCCACATCCATCACAGGGCTGTCGGTCACCGTGAGAGGAAAGGTGTGGGGCTTCAACATCAGCCCTGCCCTGGTCTCCGCCTCAGGAACCACCACCTGCGGAAAGACAGGACTGGCACCTGGGCTGCCCTGGTTCTCGGCCCTGGGCCTCCGGGGTCCTGGAACATGCACCTGGGCCCCAGGCTAAGCAGATTTTGAAGGACAATGGTCACTTCCGGGCCCAGTTTTATAAGCCGACACACCCATCTGTGAAGGGCACACATTTCCACTCAGAGTAAAGCCAGCCTGCAGCAGCCCCGGGGCAGGCACAAAGGTGACTCCCCAGAGGGTGCCCAAGGCTGACCCCACCCCCCACCCCCTCTCCCGCCAGTGAACTGCTGGACGCCAGCCTGTTCCGGCCCCTTCCCAGAGGGACCTGCTCTGCCCTGGCGAACAGTCTTGGGGGATTCCTGCCCATGGCCTGCAAGGTCACTCAGCCTGCCCAATGCTTGCCTGCAAAAGTCTGTGGCCAAGGGACAAGGTCTCCCTCTGGCTGTCCTGCCACTCACTCGCTGGGCCTAGCCATGCTCAGACCTTCCCCATGGAGGTGAGACCACAGGCCGGGGCTCCCCCACTTCTCTGCCTGCCTGGGGACCAATCACATGGCTCCCGTCCAGCTGTCCTCAATTCAGGGCACGGCAGGAAATGAGAAGCTGCGTGTAGCCTGAGGTCCCGGAAGCCAGGTGCGTGGGAGCTCTGCTCGTTCTGCGGTCCTCCTGGACTCGCAGTGTTCCACTTGATGCCAGCCCCCAACAAATGTGATAACTGGGGAAGACAGAGGCCTGCTGTGCTGCTGCCCCCCAACCATGACACGCAGGCCGACAAAGACTTAGAAATAAGAAGTTGGGACCTGAAATGCTCCTTCTCAAACCCATTTTAACTCATAACTCTTGAAAATCACGTTTTTCTTGTTTTCAAATAAAACAAAAACTCTTCATACCTGGACTTTGTAGGTCCCTGGTTTTGCTTTGAAGCAAAAAGATCCATGAGCATCCGTCTCCACGGTGACCAAAGACTTGTCCTTGTCTTGAGACGACAGGACCACTTTGTATTTACCCATCTGCTTGCTGGCGTCAGGGAAGCGGATGATTGATATCTGCCCACAGACACTGAACCTGCAAGAAGACCATTCATCCAGCTTGAGAACTCAATCACAGCAGAAGAGACTCTCAACAACCCCAAAACGAGCCCTCCTCCAGCCCTTGTGCCAGACCAGTTTACTGTGAGCAAACAGACAGAACGCAGCCCAGGTGGTTTCCACCTTAACAAGCAACCCGCAGAAGGAAGAGCAGACCACGCAGCGGCCGTCTGTGTGTTCTGGGTGACATTTGGCAGACCCCCACTGCAGAGGCAAATTTCAGAAAATCTGCAGATAATAAAAATGCTTCAAGTAAATGGATCACGGACAGTGGAATGGGCTGGGACTGAGGCCGTGGGCCAGCGCTTATAGAAGCAAGAACTGCGAGTTGCTGGAACACGGGGCCTGAGTCAGGCCACGCAACAGGCAGGGTGAGGCGCAGGCCTTGCTTGTGACTAGACACGAGACACAGAGGAAAGCAAGCGGAGAGACTGCACAGACGGACACAGAACCCCTCAGGAGCTGCAGGCCCGACGGCAACTGAACACCCTGTTGACAGAGGGTGACGCCTGGGATTTGGGACTATAGCCGCAGGGCTCCAGAGCACCCTTCAACAGACACAGACACGCGGAAGACACATCTGCTCCTGATAAGGACTGGCCAAGACCTTCATCCCTGGAGGATGCCCTCGGTTCCAAGCTGATGGGCGAGGAAGGGCCTGGCGCAGCTAGAGCCCACCAGGCCTCTTCCACTCACGGGGCTGCGAGTTTGAATCCTGAACTACCGTTTTAGAGAAAAGTCAGTTGTTCCTTTTGACAGAAAGATAATAAAGAAGACTGGCTCCAACAACCACAGGGCACACTAACTGAGGGAATGGCCACGCTGCTTCAGAAGCAAGACCATGGGAGGCAGGGCAGAGGGCAGGACAGCGAGACCCCGGGTGAGCAGAGGCACGGCTGCCACTCAGCTGGCCGCCCACTGCAGGGGTGGAGCCGTGGCCTCGAGAAGGCAGGTCAGCGCCATTTCTGTACAGACCACAAGCCAGCGTCCACACTCTTCAGAGGTTGTAAGACAAAAGGAAAAAATTAAAATCAAAAGGAGGATAATATTTCATGACAGAAAAAAGTCACTTGAAATGCCAGCGTCATTGCCCACGGGTGGAACACAGCCACTCCCATTCATTTCCAGACTGCCACATGATCTTCATCAGAGACCACATGGTCCAGGAAACCTAAAATGCTTACTTTCTGGGTGTTTGCAGAAAAAAATCTGCCAATCCCTGATGGAGTCCAAGGAATGCACACTGGTCCTCACCTTGCCCTCAAGAGCACCTCAGAATGAAGGGATGGGAAGGGAACGTGGAGGGGACTATTCCTACAGCTCCTGGACACTGTCTTATCTACCTGCCAAAGGAAACGGCACCTTGTCTGGTCCCAGGTGACGCTCTCTGCCTCCCTGTATTGTAAATATTGCAACTATAGGATCTGTGTTTAGCTCATACCCTCCATTAAAGAGAAACGCCCGGTTCCCTACACCTCAAATGCATTTGAAAAAATACACTGAAAAGCTGGTGCAAGGCCTTAAAGGTTGATCTATCCCATAAACTAACGGGGTTTAATAACTTTACAAGAAAAGCTGGAATCTTGGTACATTAATAGATAGCTCTATGCTTATGATCACTTGGACAGAAGTCAAGAGAGTTTGTTTTTTCAATAAACTAAGAATGAATTAAAAAAAGAAAGAAAAGAAACAAATACCAGCAAAGATGCGCCAACCACTTACAAAGGCCAGTGTGCCTCCCTCCCACCCCCACAAGACGATGCACTTCCCAGATGTCAAAAAGGGGATTTTTCTTTCTTTTGTCCAAATACTCTACTCTAAAGAAGAAGACACATACACGTTTCCCCATCTCCTGGTTCACCTCCTTGCTCCAGTGAGAGGTCTGGGCTCCCCGCCCCTCCCCTGCTGGCATCAGGTCCCACCACCACCACCACTTCCTGGGACGACTGCCACAGCCCCCGCCTGGGCCGCCACTCACACCCGGGCTTCTCTGCAGCCCCTTCTCCACGCAGCCAAGAAGGAAAACTCACAACCAGGGCCGCCCCTCCAAAGGCCCCCTGCACGGGGAGGCCAGCCGTCCCCACAGCCCACTGCCTCGCCCCCGGCCTCCAGCCACCCCACAGCTGGCCTTTCCCTGCTCTCCCGGCCTGGGGAGCCCCTGGACTGACCTTAGTCTCCTCTGAGTTCTCAGGAACCCAGAACCTTCCGGGGCTCCCATCCTTCTGGGCTCCTCAGAGCACCTGGTCTCCTGCCGTATGACACCTGTCACAAGTGACCATCACCCCAGGTCTGCCTTCAGCCTTCCACCCCAGGGAGGCGAATGTCCCGTCTTCACGCCACTTTGTTCCTTGTCACATACCTAGTGTCTAGCGGAGGGGCTGCTAGAAATGTCCATGGGGGGTTGGGGGGGCCTAAACCCAGGGAGTATTATCAGACGGAGATCTGCTTCTTCACCTCCCCATCACCCCTAAATCGACTCCCTGACCTTGGCCTCTACCTGTCTAGAAAACGGTCACGGCGGCCTTCTCAGTGACCAAGCCAGTGACCATGATTATGATTTCTAGGGCTCCCTGGCCTTGCTGACGGGCACTTCCTCCTACCTGACTCCCGCTCCCTGCCCACCCGGCGCCTGCCACCCTGGTCCACTGTGTCCTGGCTCTGCCTGCTCCCATCAAGCTCAGGCTCTGGCTGCTGCCTGCGGCCCGACCCTCAGGGTTTTCCATCAACCCAGCATCAGCTAGGGAGCGCCACCTAGCAGTCCTCCAGACCCAGGTGGCGAACCCGGACCCTCAAGGCTCGCTGGCTTCTCCCTGTGCACAGCACGGCACCCACAGCCCCTGCCTTTCATGCTGGGACCCTGACTATGTTCCCCACCCTGACTTCCCTGCTCAGCTGTTCTGGCCTCCCACACCCTGTCTCCTGCACTGGCTCAGGACTCGCCAGCAGGGCTATCACAGGCCAGGGCCCCCCACCTCGCACTGTTCTGTGGTGCAGGTCACCCAGTCTGTGACATTATGTCATTGGCAGTGAAACAGAATGATATGCCTACCGAAAGCAAAAATCAAACAATGCTACCTCGACTCGACACGGTTCCTGCCCTCAGCCAGGAGTCAGCCCCTGTCGTCCGCTGGGATAGACGGACCTGAGATCTGCCCTCCAGCCTGCTCCCCTCCCTTCACCTGCTCGGCACTTTGAGCTCCGGCCCGGACCTGCCCCCTTGAGACTGCAGGCCTCTGCTCAGGCCGTCCCCACCCCATCAGTCCTTGCACCTCTCCTTCTAAGCCACAGACCCAGAGCCCCTCCCTGTCAAAAGCCCCATCCTGCAGGCTCCATGTAGGGTCACAAGCACCCCAGGTCTGACTGCAAGGCCGGGGTCTGGTGCCACACCATCCTGCTTCAGATGATCAAAGACACGAATCCAAGCACAGCAGATCCCCCCTGGACACAGGATCACGTCCTACGCAGAGGGAAGAACCATGCAGCGACCCAGAACACCTCCTAACAAACCCCTCAGCCACCAACTAGGCCGCCCTCCAGAGTCCTCAAGGCTTTGGCGAGAAGGCCCCCACAGGACAGGTGTGCAGGCAGATGCGGAGGACGAGTCCTACTCTGACAGACCCCTGGCACGAACACACAGTGGGCCCAAGGGGTCCCCGCCAGCCACTGAGAGCAGCTCACCTGGTGGCGACGATGTCGGCCAGCTGTGGCGTGTTGGGGGCGATCTTGATGGTGAGAGTCTGGAAGTAGAGGTGCTCCTTGTGGGCGTGGATGGTGTAGGTGCCTGTCGTGATGTTCTCCAGGCGGAAGGAGCCGTCGGCCTTCGTCCTGACTGTGAAGCAGGAACACCGTCAGCACACGCCCGGGAGCTGGGACAGAGCCGCCTGCTGTCATGCAGGCCTCAGGGCTGGCTCCTTCCCTCTCTCCCGTCACACAGGCCCCGGGCCACGCGGCTGCTCACCTTTGATCTGGTTGTTCAGAGTGACCACTGCATCTGGGACACCTTCCCCTTCGGGTCCATTTAGGACCCTCCCGGTGACGGAGAATCCCATGACGTGGAACATGGGCTGGAAAAGAAGAACGCAGGACGGTGTTCAGGAACCTGGGCCACAAAGCCGGGCCCTGCCCGGCCCCCACCCACGGCTCCCGAGGCCTCTCCCAGCGCCTTCTGGCCAGGCTCCCTGGCACACTGAAGTCCACGTCGATGGGTGTCCAACAGTTGAATGAAAAGACCCACAGATCCATTTTCCAAGTTAGAGGCCACTCACTGCCTCCCCCTTCCCAATCCCCCTTCCCTTCCTCCAGGCTCCCAGGAGCAGATCCCAGCATCACCCTGGAGCCCCCCCCCACAGCCCTCCAGCATCAACCTGTGCTGTAGCTCCCCTCTGCAAGGTTCCAGAGCCCCTCCTGACTCCCCACAGCTGGTGCGCAGGCCTGAGCCACCTGCCAGCCCCGGGCACACTCACCACTTGGGACCCCGTGCCCTGTCCGACCGCATCTGCGCTTGGCCGGCTGTGAACACCCCTGGGCACACTCTGGAGCCCCGAAGCCCAGCCACCCTGATCTTGGCTCCTCAGCTTCACCACTACTGACCCGACTCACTGTCATCAGGCTTGGCAATACCCGAGACACCCTGGCTCGGCTTCTCAGAGCTTGCCTCCTGCCCACAAGACTATGAGCTCCCTGAGGACAGGGACCTTACCTGTCTTGGTCCCCTGGTTCACAGTAGGCACCAAAAAGTGACCCCTGAGTGAACGAGCCCACCCAGACACACACAAGGGCACAGCGTTTGACAGGCACCTTCCTTTCCATGCGCACAGCCCTTCTCGACCCTTCCAAAACCACGCGGTCCCCCCATCTGCCTGCCCACCCACTGACTTCTACCCACACCCAACAGATGTTCTACTTATTGGCACCTACTGTGTGCCGGGCACTAAAGCAACGTCAGGAAGACAGCAAGGAGCAAGACACGAATGGGCTGAGCACGCAGGACCTGCAGCCTCCTTGAAATGGCACCCACTGCCGAGACTGCATTGAGCGCCACCTGGGAGTGTGCCCCACCTGCCCATCCCTCCCCACAAGCCCTCTGAATCGAGCGGGGGTTCCCCCCACTCCTCCCCCAGCAGCCAGCAGAAGAGAAGCGTCACTGAATCTTGAACAGCAGAGGCAGCTCCCAGGTGCACGTGACCCCAGAGGGAGCTCCGCAAGCCAAGCCCTTGCACGCAGCACTTCCAGACGTAACAGTAGGAGAAAACGGCTACAACACCATCTTCTCTTTTTTCTTTTTTTTGAGAATTTTTAATATTTATTTTTAGTTCTCGGTGGACACAACATCTTTGTTTGTATGTGGTGCTGAGGATCGAACCCAGGCCGCATGCATGCCAGGAGAGCGCGCTACCGCTGGAGCCACATCCCCAGCCCCAAAACATCATCTTTTCAATAACTCTAGCCCTGGGTGGTCCATTTGGAAAGACTACTACCGGCTTTGGGGATTTGCTCTTTCTAGCAAATTTTCCACAGCAACTATTTTCCATTTCTGTAATTAAAGACAACATAAATACGATGAAAACCACAATCACCGTCTACTTTAGGGCCGCAGGGAGCTGACTGGGCCACCTAGCACACAATCTACGGCCACCACCAGGGCCTAAGCTCTGCTCGTCGCACCCAGCCACTGCACTGCCCCCGGAGGAGCCCAGTTTCCACCTGCGCCCAGCGGACCTTTCCCAACATAGCAGCCAGGAAATCGCACGTCCTCTGTTCTGAACCCTCACGTGCTCCTGAAGCTCCAGTAACAGGCCACATGGGCCCCCAGGACCTGCACAATCTGACCCCTCTTCTCTTCCTCGGCCTTCACTACCCCTGCAGCCACACCGGCCTCCTCAGGTGCCCCAAGTCCTCAGGCATGTTCTTGCCTCAGGACCTTTGCACTTGTTCCCTCAGCCTTCAACAGTCTCCCTTCAGATAAAAGTGCAGTTCTCACATTTGTCCCCTTCAAGTTGATGCCCAAGTGTCACCTTCATCGTAAGAAACTTCTGAGAACATCCTACACACAGTGCACCCTCATGTCCACCCTGCACTGTCCCACCATATTCTTGCTTTATATTCATTCACGTGTCACCCTCTGGTCCATTTTCTAACTTTCTCATCTACGCCTGAACTGACTCTTTCCATCATCCAAATGGGAGTTCCATGGGTCAGGAATTTTGGCCTGTTTTGGTCTCTGCCATAGTCCCAGCACTGGCATTCAAGAAATTTCCCTGAGTGAAGCAGCTCTAGCGAGGAGTTCAATCCTCCAGGACCAAGATCTCACGCAAGACGGGGAGGGAAAAGGGCACCCCAGACTGCGGCCCAAGATTCCATGCTTTCCAGTGATCCTTCTGGGTAAACTATTGATTTTTTAAACATATTTGCAACACCTGTGCCCAGAGATGGGAACTCCAGCCCCTGTCCCCCGGAGCACGGGGAGGTCTCACCTCAATCTTCAGGCTGTCGTGCTCTACTGTGAAGTCCAGCCTGGAAGGTGCGACGTCAAAGGTGATCCTCTCCCCTCTATAGAAGGGGACCTGCAGGAAGAGTCACACAATCCACCGTCAATACCAGCCACCGATCCAGCGGCCCACAAATGACCAGGGGCAAGACAAGCCAAGATCCTTAACTGTACTGTTGCTGCTTTTAAGAAGCAGCCCTGTTTCTCTACTGCAGCTGCCACTGAGGGGCCTGTGTCCCACCATGAGCACAGCTTGAGGCTCCCTCATCCAAAATGCCTGTTTCACACTGCAGAGTTTTTCGGATGCTGTAATATTTGCACATACATAACGAGATAAATTGGGGGTGGGACCCAAGTCTAAACAGGAAATGCCTTTACCTTTATGTTTCACCTACACCACATAAAAAACATATGAGGCAACTTATATATAATACTTTTTAATAATTTTGTGCATGCAACAAAGCTTTGGGGTGTAGAATTTTCCACTTGTAGCATCAAGTCAGTGCTCAAAAAGTTGTGGGTTTTGGGGGGCTGAGGTCGTGGCTCAGCAATAGAGTGCTCGCCTAGCACATGTGAGGCCCTGGGTTCGATCCTCAGCACCGCGTATAAATAGATAAGTAAAATAAAGGTATTGTGTCCACTACAACTAAAAAATATTTTTAAAAAAATTAAAAAAAAAAAAGTTGTGGATTTTGGGGCCAGGAGTGGTAGCACATGACTATAATCCTAGCAGCTTGGGAGGCTGAGATAGTAAGATGGAGAGTTCAAAGCCAGCCTCAGCAACTCAGTGAGGTCCTCAGCAACTCAGTGAGACCCCATCTCTAAATAAAATACAAAATAGGGCTGGGATGTGGCTAAGTGGCTGAGTGTTCCTGAGTTCAATCCCTGGTACCCACCCTCCAACCCAAAAAAAGTTTTGGATTTTAGAGTACTTCAGACTTTGGAGTTTCGGGCTAGGAATGTGTGACCTGCACTGCTGAACAGCACCCGTGGGGCACAAGGCCACCACTTGCTCCCTGGACACCGACAGGGACTGCTGGCCTCCCCGACAAAACAGAGCAGAAAGCCGCCCCACTCACCACAGTGTAGCCCCCACTGGGCAAGGAGTAGAAGGAGAAGGAGCCGTCTTCCTTGGAGACCGTGTGGCACAAGTACACCAGGCTCTCGTCCTGGGGCTGGAACCCAGGCACTGGGGAGACGTTGCAGCCCAGGACGTCCTGTGCCAGGGGAGAGACTTCTTTTACTGTTTACATGCTCCAGTCACACCCAGGAGCCACACCAAGGACAGGACAACTGCATAAGTTTCATCTCTACACAGATGTATTTTTTCCCCTGAAATCTAGGGCACATTCATAGAGATAAAAGAAACAAAATCTCCACACTCAAAGTCACAAGATGAAAGTTGCCATGGTGTTCTTGGGAAAGGGACATAGCTGTCCTTCCAAAAATGGGTCTCTGCCCCCAGATAAGGAAAGTCTCAGCAAGGCCAGGCGACAGCCCAAGGTCCCATGGCTGCTAAGAGGCGTTAGCAAACCCAGGTCCGTCTGATGTCAAAGCCTGTGCATTTTCCACTGAACTCCACACCTCCCGGTGCACAGAGCCAATTTCTTGTGAAACTGTTCTCAAATAACCTGAAGCAGCATCTCCACCAGCAGACCCCAGCTGCCGTATCCCCGCCCGCCACATGCACACCAGCTCTTGTTCTTTGCTTTCCTGTGCTTACCTCTTTGGTGACGAAGGAAGAAAAGAGAAGAAACTTCACCCCTTTCATGGGCTCCCCGTCACTCCGAACAGAGCCAGATACATTATAGCCAGCAACAATGAGCGGGCCTGCGGCATTGGCGTTGGAGTTGGTCACACGCACCGTGGTGCTCGCCTACCAAGGGAAGAGGTGTGAACTCCCCAAACATGGGCACTTGCAAAGTGCCTAACACTGAGGACACACGAAACATCCACTGGAAAAAGCAATGCATAAAGCTGCATGACAGTTGTCCCCAGCATCCCTGGGGCTGGCTCCAGTACCCCCCCCAGACACCCTAACCCGCAAGTGCTAAGTCCTTCATGCAAGAGGGCAGAGTACCTGCACAGAACCTACACACCCTCCCAGAACCTTGAATCATCCCTCGAGCATTCATAACCCTTAACACAACGCCTTGTGAATAGGTGTTCCACTGCTTAAGGAATAATGACAGGAAAGAAGGCCTATGCAGCCAATTTTTTTCCTATATATCTTCAGCCCACAACCAGTGGACCTGAATGAACTGGCTGAACCCAGGTGCAGAAGCCACGGACCTGGGGGCTGACTGCACTGCGTGACTGCAAGCCCTGGTCGGCGCCCAAAGTGAGGCCAAAGGAAATGAAAGGAAACGTGGCAAGGCCACTTGGTCTGTCTGTGGAGGTCCCTCCCTTCTCCACACTCTCCACCCTCCAAAACCCCCCCGCTGCTCCCAGTCCCAACAGTCATCAAGGTTCCAACTTTTAAATGAGCACGTTGTACTTTTCCATGTTTAGTGAAATGCATACTTCTTCAACTTTCTTATTAACATACAATTTACAACAGAGAAAGGTGTCCCATATTCTGAGCATATGGGTGGTGACTGGCATAAACTGAATGTACCACCGATGACCAGCACCCAGAGGGCAGAAGTAACACCCCAGAAGCCCCTCGCCCACTTCCCAGCCCTGACTCCCACCCACCATAGGCCAACAGGATCCTGACTTCTAATCATTTGCTTTACCATCAAATTTTATACTCACAGACCCACCTAATAAGCCACATAAACCTGAAAATGTATTCTACATCCTATGTGTAGTGTGTAGGGCTTGAGTTTTAATAAGCCTGTGTGTGTGTGTGTGTGTGTGTGTGTGTGTGTGTGTGTGTGTGTATGGTGGTACTAGGGACAGAACTCGGGGGGCTTAAGCACTTAGCTATATCCCAGCTCATAATTTTTATGTTTAGTTTTAATTTCGAGACACAGCTCTTGATAAATTGCCAAGATCAGCCTTGAACTTAACATTCTCCTGCCCCAACCTCCTAAGTCGCTGGTTACAGGCGTTTTAATTACTGCCCCTGGCTTAAATAAAACATTTTTAAATGTTGCTTCAAGAAGGAAAAAAAAAAACCCTGAAACCCAAAAGTCATAACAGGACATAGGTCTTTGGTGAAAACCACTTCAGCCAAAGAGACGACAAAAAAAAAAAAAAAACTCTGGAGGACACCTGCATGTCCTCGTGCCAGGTAAAGACATAAGAACACAGCTCAAGACCCCGCATCCCCTCCCGCTTCCTCCCTCCTCTACACCACCAGGGTCACCGGATGCTGCGCTGCTGGTGCCCAGCACAACTGCATCCTTGCTCTACATACACCTGGTCTGCTCTGGCATCATCACGAGGGCCTGTGACCTCACATCCTTCGCTCTCTGCACACAGCTCTGGGGCCCTCATTACTGATGCCCAGCATGTCCCCCTGTGGGGGACCCACAATCCACTCTTAATGGCATTGGCGTTGCTTACCCCATTTTGCTATTATAAACAAACTGCAATAAGCATTCTTTGTTGTTGTTGTTGTTTTTCGGCACTGGGAATTGAACCCAGGGGTGCTCTACCAGTGAGCCACATCCCCAGCCCTTTTTATTTTTTGAGATGGGGTCTCACTAAGTTGCTGAGGCTGGCCTTGAACTTGTGATCCTCCTGCCCCAGCCTCCCAAACTGCTAGGATTATTTGAGTGTGCTACCACACCAGGAGACAACAAATATTTTATACATCCTCCCTGGGCATGTGCACAACAGTTTCTAAACTGTTCAGTATATTCATAAATATCTGTCTCAGGTTGAAAAAGAACAAAAAATCTATATCATCAGACATTTCTGGTGTTGCTTTAGCTTAAAATAGCATCAATTAATAAGAGAGCAACCCTGTCACCTACAACCAAAACCAGCGGCACCCGCTGTGGCAGCGGAGTTTCACCTCGTCAGCACCTCCTCCCTCGTCGGCACCTCCTCCCTCAGCACCGCTACTTCTACATCAACATATGGAAAACCCATCAATTCATTTCTCATCCTAAACTGAAGGCATCTGCAGACTAGCACGTTATTGGCACAGCTATCACAGGCCGAAACACTTACCTCTTTCAATGGCCAGGTGGGATGAGTTGCGAGGATTTCATAATCTCCAGGAAGAACTTTAAAAAATGCAAACCTAGGGAACACAAGACACAATTAGCTTTCTCCAAACAAGCCGAGGACTTCTCATTATCTGACCAGTGCTCGCCGCCTTATCCCAAAATCCCTCTGGCTAGTCAAGCGAGTGGAGTCGATTGGTCACTCTGCAAATCCACAAAGGGCGCTGGCGAGGCCCTCGGAGCAAAGCAAGACAGGAAGGACGAGGGCTTCTGTTTCTCTGAACTCCAAGACTCCTGCCACCAAACTGTCACTGTCGGACAGCAGGGACCAGCCACAGGACACTCAGCTGGGCAGACAGAAGGGGAGGGAAGCGAAGGCAAGGAAGCGGGAAGAGGAGTGGGAGCGAGGATGCCAGACTGGGGAGGGACACCAGCGGGACCCCACTAACACTGTGGCCAACCGTGACAGGCTTGGCATCCTGCACAGCTGAGCTCAGATCTGCTGCGTGAAACGAACATAAGCATCGTGGGCTCTTGTGCAAAGAAACCACGATGGAACCCTAGCCAGGGAGGGTGACTCCGCTGGCTCCTGCAACTGAGGTCACAGCCAGCTGAGCTGGGACTCTGACGCACTTCACCCTTCAGGTCCCAAGGCGATCAGAGGGCTGATTCCAGGGAACAGCGTCCCAGGGCCGCCCGCCACCATCACTCTTCAGCTGGTGCAGATGAAAGGGACTCTCGAGACTCACTTATTGTGTGAGGTCATCCCTAACTGAGAAACCAACCCAAACGCTCCAACATCCGAAAGGCTTTGAGTGCCAACCTGATGCCAAGTCAAAAGTCCCACATTCGACACTTTGTTTCACGTTCAGTGTTGTTTAGAAATGTGTGTAAGATCACCTTCGTAAGGGGTGTAGGAAACATAAATTAATTTCAGGCTGAGACCTGGGCCCCCTCCCCAAGATATCACATAAAGTGTATGCAATATTCCCAAATCTGAAAAGTTCTGCAACCTGGAACAGTTCTGGTCCCAGCACTTTGGAGAAGGGACACTCAACCTGTAGCAGCCTAGGACACAAGGCACAGCTCCACATTCCACCTCAGACCAGGACTAAAGAGGCACCAATCAAGAAGAGGAAAGCTTATTTCAAAATGAAAAATAATTCCGAAATTGGATAACTTACTGGCAAACCCATTATAATCTTTGATTTTGCCATTCAGTCCGTCTTGTGTATTGAAGTAGCTAGTAATGATTTGAATGCTTCTAAAATTATCAGTCGGAACTATTAATCTTGGCACATCTATTAACATTTGCAACTATATAGATCCATTAAGTAAATGCTTCAAATTTCACTCGGCAAGGTTAATTAGATAATCAACAGTTCCCACTACAAAATGGTTTTGATGTGATAAAATAATGTTTTTAAATCATAATCACACTAACCTATATTGAGCAAACATTTACTAAGCACATAATCCAGGCTGGCCAGTCTGAAACAATATTAATTCACTCTTCCCAGCAACCGTGGGAGGCAGGTTTCACAATTTCTTTCATTTACAATTAAGAAAACCAAGGCACAGAGGGGTTAAGTGACTTGTCCCAGATCAAACAGCTAGCAACGGAGGAGCCAGGATGCAAACCTGGGCCACCAGACTCGAGGACCAGCCCCAGCTGTTACCTGAAGGCCTACTAAGTGCCCGGCTTACAGCAGGTGCTCTGTGGGTGCTAAGTGATATTTAATCAGGTGCAAAAGGACAAATGACTTCCATCTCACAGACAAGGAACTTGGGCTCCAAAGGGCATGAACTTGCCAGAAGTTAGGAGGCTGAATCAAGATCTGTACCCAAGTCTCCTGAATGCAAAGGTGCCCCCAGCCCCCATCACAGCCCAGCTCCAGCTACATGGACAGGTAAGACGGCCACTCACTTTCCTCCAGGCTGCGTGACCGTGGACTGGATCTTTGCTTCTGTTCCAGTGTTTCTCAGAGACACCTGAACTCCTGCAGGACCCAGGGGCTGCCCTTTGCTGAGGACCTGTGTGCAGAAGGAGGTTAGAACCGCTGGGCAACAAAGCTCTCTCCACAAGTCACTGCACCCACTCCTGCCCCCCAAGTGGAACTAGAACCTTCTCTGGGTCAAGGACCCCTTTGAAAAGATGACATTAACTATGAATACCCTCTCTCTGAGGGTGAGGTGGGGGAGCCAATAGTGACAGTAAAATGACCCTGTTTCACTGAACCACCGCTAAAGATGCGCCATTATTTTATAAACCACTGGATGGCAAAAAATACCCACGGTCCCACTTCACTAAGAAGCCCATGCATAAAGTGGGCTCAGGGAGAAACGAGCCTGTCATGAAGTCAGCCGGGAGCCTGCACATCTCCACCGTGCGCCAGCTGGGCAGCAGGGGCGACCTTGCCAAGGAGGGGAACGCAGTCAGGTTCACACCACTGTGCAAACACCTCCAGAGCTCAGCTTCCATCAGAGACTGCTCCAAAGGGGCAGAAGCAGGTGCACCCCTGCCCCAGGAGGCCCGAGCACCCGGGCAGGCGGGAAGAGGAAGGAACCCTTCAACTCCACGCCCCATGAAGGACCGTGGGCACATGTCCTAGGTGGGGGCGTCATGGCCAGCAGCCTAGCCTGCCTCCTCGACTCTCCCTGCTGCACACACAACAGAGGCAGCGCTCCCAGACCCCCTAGCCCTGGGTGGAAACAGCCCACTCAACCTTTCCATTCACAGAGAAGCCCGTGAACACGAAGTTGATGTCTCCGCCTTTGGTACAGATGTCGCTGACGCCATCCACGTACAGCTCCACGTTGGTCGGCTCTGAGGAGGGGATCAGGGAGGGGAGAAGAAGGAGAGCAAAGACACACGGGCAAGGTGAGTGCTGGGACACCGTGGGACTAAGAAAGGCACCAGCAAGGCCAGGCTGCTCCACACATTATGAACACTTACTACACTCCTTGATTCAAAACCCAAGGGGGCAAGAAATTTAGCAAGGAAAAGCCAACTTGCCACCCCCGTCCCCAGCACCTGCCTTCCTGCCCCAGAGGAACCAGGGTTCAGAGAATAAAGAGCCCAGAAAGAGTCTTCCAGCCCAGGGGCATCCTGGGGCCCCACTGAAAACTGTGAACCCCCGTTTTATTCACATTGTTAGCCGTGGTCAGGCACGGAGCCAAGGGCACTACCCCCGCAACTACCTCAGGAGTGGGGTCATTCCTGAGGGGTAAACTGAGGCACGGAATCACTAAAGGATCTCCACGGTCACAGAGTTTGTGAGTGGCAGAGCTCCCATCTCCCAAAGCAGGCTGCAGACCCGTCCCCACGAGCCCATGAGTGCAGCCAAGCTAGCCCGGGACCATGAGCCCAGGGCCCAGAAGCCACGTGGAAAGGAAGTGAGCCAACTGCCCTGTGAAGGCCACAGAGTGACAGCGGGCAGCCAGCTGCCACCGTGTGGCCCAGGTCACCAGGCCCCCAGCCCCCCAGACACCCCAGGAACACGGAGAACAAGGATGTTACGGTGACCTCCCGAGTTTTCAATACTGGCGATTCATTCAATTTGGGGGAAGAAAGTGAAGAGTTCCTTACAACAGGGTCTAATGAAGAGTTTCTGAAATTTTCCGAAGAGTGTAGAGTAGTAAGTAGAGAAAAAAATAGAAAACCATGAGGTTTTCAGGTAAAATAAAGACTCCTCCACACAGACAGTCATGGCAGGAGGGTCTGGAGCCCGCGTGCGTGTGGGGACGGGCTGCTCTTGCTGGCTGCCTGCCAGCCTCTCTAAACCCTTAGCCCAGGCCCTCCGTGAGGCCGGACTGCGACCACTGTGACTCCACAGGAGAGGCGGAGGCTGGAAGGGAAGTGACTCGCCAAGGCTGTCACCTAGCTGGTGAGGCCCAAGGGGCCGATCTTGGCCCCTGTTAAGAGAAGCAGATCTGTTTGGCGGTCAGTGGTGGAGCTCGGCACAAGCCAGGCCGGGTTCCATCCCCAGAGCGAGAGACAGACAGATCTGGATTTTAGTGTCAAACGTAAATAGTTAAACAGTTCAATTAACTAAAAAAAAAAAAAAACTAAGGTGCTGAAAAAGAAACCGCACTGGGACAAAAACCGAGCCCCACTCTTGGTTTCTATATTGTTCCAACACCACGTGGGGTGAAACCGGGAAGGCCCCGTTTCCAAAAAGAGGAACAGACCACGAGAAGATGCCCGACTGGAGAAAGGTGAAGGCAGCCACAGGATAGATGGAAGATAAACCCAAACTAAAGTGACAGGAAAAGGGAAAGGGGACAACACGAAAGCCCTCTTCCACAAGAGAAGCGGATGCTTAATTCCTCAACAGGCACTGACTGTGCCAATCCCAACCAATGTCTGCACATAATGGGGCCCTGACGAGATACGTTTGGTTATTCGGCTAACTTACCAAAACTCCACCCTAGGGGAGGCTCGATCTTCAGAATGAAATCCCCCTACAGAAAAAATGAAATTTAAAGAAACGAGAATTGATGACACTGGTGTAATGCAATCTAGTGCAATCGTTCAATCTAAAACTAGTGCATCTGAAGAGGAATCCAGAGGATAAGCAACTTAGTGAAACTGTCTCAAAATAAGAAATAAGATGACTTGGGGATGTAGTTCTGTGGTAGAGCACCCAGGACTTCAATTCTTGGTACTTAAGCAAATAAACAAACAAAAAAAAACTATGAATGCTGACTATTTTTACAACATCCTGTGAATTTATATCTCCAAGTACATGGAGGAGGCTGGGGCTGTGTAAGAAGTGTGCGAAGGCACATCTAGGTGCACATGTACATGCACATGGCAAGTGTATCTTCCAACTGTAAGCAGAGAGTGCACTCTGTTAGGAGGCACAAAAGAACCTTTGTCAAAGGTCACTGCTATACAGGGGAGGTGATAGAATTAGGGGGCAAAGGGTACAAATTTACTTCATATAGCTCAAAAGATCTTGATTTTTTTTTTTTCACAAAGCCCATGAAAATGCATGGAATTTCTGGAATCTTTTTTAAATAGTACTTTAAGGGTTTTATTAAGTCAGTTTCTCACACTGGCACTCTGGGCGTCCCGGCTGTCCTGGGCAGCACTGCGTTAGGGTTAGTTCCATCCCCAGCCTCTGCTCTCTGAGTAACCAGAGCCCCCTCCAGGGCTGTAACCAGGTCTCCAGTCACATGAACATGGAGCCTGGAGACCTCAGGTGCCATCAGAACAGCTGTGAAGTCATCTCCCTCGTGGGAATGAGCTGAGCAGCTATGCTGAGCACAGGTACAGGTGCATCACAGGGCGTCCCAACTTCACAGAGAACGATGATGCACCAATTTAAGATAAATAAAGAAAGAGAAGGAAGACAAGCAGAGAAAGAGGACCACAGGAAGGGAAGAGGGGAGGGAAAGGGAGTACTGGACCAACTATGTTATATGCACTTATGAATACGTCAGGATGAACCCCGCTATTATGTACAACTACACTGCACTAGTAAATATAAACAAAAGAATAAATAAGTTACCTCCCTTGGAATTGGACTAGCACTGCCATGTTCCTCTAATCATTTACAGTGTCAGGGAGCATCTACTCGTGTGGGAAAGGCCACTTTCCTGTTGGGCGCAGCCCAAAGGCCACACTAATTACTTCCCATCATAAAAGACAAGCAGGCAGGCCGGCACCCTCCTCACCTTATCATACAAGGGGATCATGAAGTAGCCGTTGTTAGGGGCACAGTCTGTCTGGTATTTCAAAGTCCCGTGCTTGGTGTACAACTTTATCTGGAAAGAGGGGAAAGGAAATGCAAGTCATGATATCGCCTCTGAGAATCGCCCACATCATGCCCGAACGTATCAGGCAATAAGCATGCGCTCGTTGCAGACCCACTACACGCCAGCGATGAACACCAGGCCTCGGGGACAAGAAAATATGATGAAGCCACCCCAGTCGTGGGATCTGATGGTTCTCAGGTTAGAGACTATCTAAAACCACCCCAAAGTCTTGCTTTTCAATGCCTTTCCGTTGACTTAAATGGCTGTCTCTATTTTATTCATGTAAGTTTCTGGGTCTAAATCAAATTCTCTGTTAGTGAAACCAATCTGCTTGTTAAAACACAGACCCCTGAGCCCCACCTCATTTCCTCCACTAGGTCTGGGATGAGGTCTGGGGATCAGCATCATTAGGTCCAAATGACTCTATAAACTAAAGGGACATTCACCTATAAGCTTAATTCTCTTTCATTCTCAAAACAAAAACAGATCAAAGACATTTACTGTTATGTCCTCTCCTCAAGGACTCTAAAACTTTGTGTCTTCAATATTAGCAGGCACAAACTATTCACCCAATAAGAGGCACAAGCAGTATCTACATCTTCCACATACTGGGTGACCTTGGGCTAGTCCTTTAACCTCTAGAGGCTGTTTCTTCATGGGTAGAGACAATGAATTCACATCACTGTATATTAAGCATCTGACACGAAGCACAGGCTCAAATGAATTACTATTTAATACCTGAGAAACAACACAACGTGTGTAATTGGCAGGGCATAGACTGAGTTCTAGGAAAGTTGCCTAAACTTACCTGAATGGCTGAACCACTCTGACCCTCAGTCTTTACATATGTAAAAGGAAGCAGCTGGGACTGATGGCATCTAGGAGCCTCACCTCTAAAATGTGAATGATCCATGACCAAGACACAGAGATGACAGAGTCAACCAACTAAGAAGATGTATATAGCAACAAACTTGCAACTTGCACAGTGTTGCAAGTGGGAAAGGCCCAGTGTGAAATAACAAGTAGACTGAGTTCTCCACTGGCAGTAACCATGGCTTACACACCACAGAACCTGGGACAGTGTCCTAGGTACTAGGTCCTCAATAAATAAAAAATGAATTTATTCCAAGCCTTAAAGAAATTCAGATGCATACAATTAAAAGCATGGATTGGAAATCCAGCAGCCTAGAGGGGCACAGAGGCAAGTTCAAGGGGCATTACTCTAATGGGCACGGAGCACTACACAACCTGAGCCAACCTCTGCGGCCCAAAGACAAGGCAATTTCCAGAGAAATCAGGAATTCAGTTTCTAAGGTGAAATCTCTTAATTGTTAAAGTGTCAGCAACCAGTATGATTCTTCTTTTTAACAGCTCAGGCCACAGGTAAAGAACAGAAATGTCAATGCCCTGAGTAGGGACTTTCCTCTGGTGGGTTCACTGCTTCTATCCCCACCTGGGCCATGCTGCAGGACATGCAGCAGCGCAATAAGTTGTTGTTGATTGAACAGGATGCAAAAGCACCCCCAGAGGGAAGAAGGCTAGAGAAGGGGAAGGTAGCCAGGTTGGGTCACATCAAGTAAAGACCATGAAATACCAACTTTTCTTTCATAAAGTACAGATGAGGATGTTGAATGGCAACCTAATCTACAGTGAGGTTACTCATATGAAATATCTGATTTCATCACCAGTAATTATGAAATAAGGAGAGTCCAATACAAAAGAACAAGCGGGGGATGGGCAGCCCTAGGGCTCAAGAGATACACTTCTCTGGCAGGAGGCCACCATTAGTGGGGGGGGGGGTGCCCTAACAGCCTTTCCCTTCCTCCCAGAGCCCCAGGAAACTACAAACTGCCCACAACAGTGTCCTATTTTACTCTGGGTGCTTTGAAGACAGCTTCTGAAATGCCATGTGCCTGCAAACCCAGAAGGTGGCATGGGGACCCAACAGGTTCCCAGGAGCTCCTGCAAGCCCTTAGGACTAAAAGGGTAGAGGAACAACGGACAGAGGGGCCCTGAGGCTGACAACACAGCCTCCTCTGTAGAAGTATCTGTTCTCTCCCAACACCATCCTACAGGTAAGAAACCGGACTTGGAGCAAAGCCAGGTCAAAAATGTTGGGAATCCACTTCCCGGCCCTCCCACAATCCTTGGCGACCTGTTCTGCACAATCCTGCGGTTCCACTCTGCCTTCTCTGGGGCAGCTCAAAGGTGCCTTCGAGTAGCCTCTGTCCCTTCCCAGTCCCTTCTCTTTGGCATCTCCTTGCCCCTTCCTTTGTTTTCTCTCAAACCCCATCCCAGGCATCTGGTGTGTGCCTCTTCCATTCCCCTCCATCCCCCTGTCCCCCTAGGCCTCCCGGTGGCTCTTCCTCACCCACCTTGACAGGTGTCCTGGAAGCCTATCTCCACGTGTCCCTCCCCGTCCTCTTTTAGAAGCTATCTGGGCCACAACCCCACTGGGATGAGAATCATTTCACAGACCCTTACAATTTAATTTTTTTTTTCCTAAAGAAAACTTCTACACGGATCTCTAGTGGGATTCCGGTGACCACCCGGGACACCCATCAGGACAGCTGGCAACGCTCCCCTTTCGGAGGAAAAGGAGCTGGGGGCGGGGGTAAAGAAGCAGCCGCCCCCCGCGGAGTTTCCAGCACAGCTCCACCGGGGGGTGGGTCTTCGGGGTGCTCTTTTAAAAGCACCTGGGGAGCACTGGACTGGACCTTGCGGGGCGGGGGGTTCCGGGTTGTGGCGCGGGTGGGTAAGAATCGTGGTCTGCAGGGTCTGGGGAGATCTGCGGTCCAGCTTTTGGAGAAACGGGGTCAGGGCTGCAGGGGCTGCGGTCTGGATTCGGGGCGCCGCGG